CGTCTCTTGTTTGATTGACAGTTGATTGATGTGGACGGATTAGTTTCACAATGGCTGGCACATTTTGATAACATGTTTGTAAACAAATCAGTTGCACTGTTTACCTTGTTACAGGCTACTGCATCGTCGAATGCTGAATGTATCTCTGTCGATTGGTTATTCCAGTTGTCAACATACGTTGATTGATTTTCATCTTTAGATTTGTATATGGTCCTTGTTGATAAAAGACCACGGGAATTGGCACTTGATGAAGTTTTTACTTTGAGAGAAAATGCAATTGGTAGGTGAGTGGAATCAACTTGATCTCCGATTTGAAAAAATGATATCATCGGGAACGAGGTTTCAAATGTCAGTACATAGTCAATAACACTTTGACCATTGTAAGCAAAGCAAGTCTCACGTGACTGAAAGGTACAATTGATTGGCGCGTGCGGAGACTCGATCCGAGATCCGATGTTAAAATTCTTACACAATGAAAACAAATCACTTGTTGTGATAACATAGTCAATAACGCTTGCGCGTGTAGGGGACATAAACGTAAAATCTCCCGCACTGGCATCAGATCAACAACGACCATTAAGTATAGACAAGTTTAGAGAAGCACACATATTAAGCAAAATTCGCCCAAGTTTGTTCACAGTATTATCGAATGAAAATCGCTGTGTGCAAATACCCTCACAGTGAAAATGACACTTGTCAATTTGCAGAGCTCTCATTATATCGTCCTCAACAAAATCAAAGTCTGTTCCAGTGCGGGCGTTGAAGTCGCCCCCGAGGAGGATAGAGACGTCCCCCACTTGTTGAAGTACATATATTAACACATCCTGGAGTATAGATACGCCGCACTTGTTAGCTTTATTGACATACCAATTTGACTTCTCTGGAATAATGTCTACACACCCTATAAGAGTGTCCTTAGCATTATTAAATACAGATTTCCTTAGCAAAATGAAAACACAGTTGTCACATATTTTTGACCATAAAATAGATTTTGAAAGTGTGTTTTTTATTAACAATGTAATACCACCGGATAGCCTACCTTGTTTGGAGATTTGGCAAACATCAACATTAAAGTAAACATATTCAGAGAAGTCGTAAGCTTTTAGCCAGGTTTCACACAATCCTATAATTGTAAATGTACGTATGTAATGAAGGAATTCATAATGAATGTTAAGGGTAATAGATACGTTATATTTAATCATACTTATTTTCAAGAGACTGTCCCGTCAGCCAACCAAAATGTGTTTAAACAATATGTTAGAGATTTGTCTAGTTACCTGCATATTTGAAACAATACCACGATATGTGAAGAAATTATTTAATTTCCTTTGATTCGAAATCGTGTATTTTTGTTGTAAATATATAACTAAACAAATTTACGAAATCATATGCGTAACTGGTTAGATTTTTCAAGAAAATGAAAATATAGAAACGACGTCATTATAAAACTATGCCAGTACAAGTATTCGCATACAATGCCTTTTACATTCATATGAGTATGAGTATCAGTTAACATCAAAATAGGAAAACAATATCCATCAGGGCATACTCCACAAAGCGATATTTGCACCAAGACAGCCGTAGCGCCCATGCATTACCACTGATAAAGGCAGCCGTAGAACTAAGGTCGCTTTGTGGAAAAGGTATCCTGCTCGCTAACAAAACTTACCGGTAAAGATGTAGTTATTGCCCTGGTTAAACACCTTAGTCCATTGTAAATCCATATCCCTTCTGATGGTACAGTGATATTGTGTCGCAGAAAGACATGTAGTTCGTTTTATCTTCCCTGTGACAAACGTAAAAACATTCCACTCCAAAACGTCCCATCCACGATAATGCCACCTTCTCATCTGTTATCAGCCTGTACACAGATCGATGAGGTGCAACCGATATGACTGTGTGTAGGCAGCCTGTTAGGTATCGCACGTCCATGATGAATAACATAACAAACACCACTGTCGCCCTGTAACCCGCAACACTGGTTTACACAAATGCCATTAGGACTGATGAATAATTACCACATGCAGACAGTTGTCGGGACATCAGTTACACAATACAAATCAGTTGATGTGTCTCGTAACATCGAGGAAGTTTACAGTGATTTCCATGGAGAGCCTTGAACACATTAAATACTGTGTGATTGATCATGAGAAGTCGTAATCTGTCAGAATCATTCAATTTCCTTATGAGGTGTTCATTAGAGCTGCTACACGCATCCACTATTAAATGTCGTGATCACTTGTGAATCTAAAACCAATCAATGTGTTCTAAGCACCTTGTACACAGGCAGTCAAAACCATGGCAACCCGTGTAACCCGCTGTTTGACAAAAGGGATGATTTGGATTTTCCAGCTGTGGATTTCGGCTTTATGTTGACGAATATGCAATCAGATCCAGCTTATGGCGTCAACATTTCTGCTGAATAGTTTAGAACATTTGTCTTACAACTGAGTACTTTAATATAGAGTTCTCCACCAAAGGCCATATTCCAGTGATAAAACATTCAAAATACCCATGAAGATCCAAGTTAGAATTGGTCTTCAGCAACCTGTGCTTGCCATTAGAGATGATTAACATGCTCGGGTGATTAGTCTCGCATGGCATCATCCAAATTGTGTAAATCGATGCTCATAGTGTCAGTCATTGGATTGCATGGCCCAGACTCGGATATGTACAGACTGCCGTCATATGGCTGGATGATTGCTGAGTTTGGCGTTAAACAACAAACAAAGATACAAATATAATGAAAAGACTGCTTTCATTGTGTGAGTACATTATTGCTAAGATCTTATGTTTGCAAGGCGCTGTATTCTGATAATGCTCAAATGAATTCTGTCTGAAAGATCCTTAAAACATTGTGTGAAGTATTTCTCCTCCCTCAAAATCTTTGTAAAAGTTTTTGTGATACGTGAACAGGTTCGAGTGTGATACTCAATTTTGTACTGTACAGTGTGAAACAATTGTGCATTCAAACTGTAAGTCACGTTTGTCTGTTCGAAGAATGGAACTCTTTTTCATCAATTTTGAAATGATAATAACGGTCCATATGAACCTCAAAATAGTTTTTGTGAAATATGTTATCTTTGGTTTGTGTTGGGGCAAATTCTTGATGATTGCACCAAAAACGTCAGTCGAGTCCACGACGATATGGGCTCCACACATTCTACCCATCTGGGGAATAGAACCCGGACTTTCGATGTGACGAGCGAACGCTTAACCACCAGACCACCCAACCGCCACCATGATATGTCTTGAAAATTGCAGATTATGGCGTTAAACCATCACTTGATAAGCATCCTAAACGTTGTATGATCACATCTTATCTAGGTACCATGTCTCTCCAGTGCATGCCGCAAGAACAGATTGAAACAACACGTTCAGAAATTGTTGCCAGGCTGACCCTGTTTTTGAACTGTGATGACTGAGCAGATCATACAATGTTATCTGTGCTAGAAACAGTTGATGTGGTCACAACTTCCGCAACTGGGCGCCACGTGGATATCTGTTTGGTTGAGCGGGCGTTCAGAAAGGAGGAGAGGCACAAACACACTGGCCAAGATGTTAGCTCCCGATGTTCGATACTGTCGAATCACGATCTATTATAACAGAAAAACGCGGAGAAAATACATATGAAGATTAGTGCATGTGTGTGTTTGTGTGTGTGTGTGTGTGTGTGTGTGTGTGTGTGTGTGTGTGTGTGCGTGTGTGTGTGTGTGTGTGTGTGTGTGTGTGTGTGTGTGTGTGTGTGGACTTATGCCGGCTTTATTGTGCAAGCACACTGATTCACCATGCCGCAGTTTAACGTTTATCCTCCACTCAGACACAGTATACTGACTCCGAGCCGGCCAATCCAATTGTACTATCCTCTTAATGCCGAGCGTCAGCGCATCGAAGAAAAACGGACGTGTTTTTGCTGTGATAGTCACGTGTTCTCATTACGTTCTACAAACAAGTCTTTCATTGGGGAGTAACATTCAATAACAAGAATGCTTTGTACTGATACATGTATACTATTTATGCTTACTGCAAGTGAAATTATAAAAGAAATCTTGACATGAGATGAGGTGAAGCGGGTTCAAGATAACTTCACTTATTTTGCGGCCTGCGTGGCTGCTTGTACTAGTCGGGATGTGTGTCAGTTTCATTGTGGACTTTGTCACTGTCAGCCATTTGAAAAGACTCCCTTCAAGCTGTAAAAAAGCTTTATAGATTGTGTAAACATCATTACCTGTTTACTTTTTGCACTTTGAATATCAAGGATCGTGTTCAGAATCTGCTAACGATACCCGATGTCTTAAATGACAGCAAATCTAAGTCTCTCGTGGGCCAGTGACGTCATTATACGCGGGATTAAGGCCTATCCAGAGTGGCTTAATGATTAAGGCATTTACTCGTCACGGCGTGGTTTTATTTTCTGCATCGGTACACTCCGTAAAAAAAACATTCCTGGGAGCCTGAGATATGTTGTTTGCTCCTTCAGCGATTGGTTTGGGTGCAAAACACATGAGTTCGACTTATTTTGTTTAATTAATCGATAATCATCAATTGCAACATCTTTAATCACTGAAAGCATCACATTAAAAGCAACTCATATTGTCATAAATTCCTCAAAATTTATATTCTATAAATATATGTCCATTGCACGATTCTGACTTCATCATTCTTGAATCACTATCAAATAGATGAATCCAGGTGTTCGCGAAAATGCGACCGTATCCTGTCCCTCCGGCTGCTCACGTCACAAGCGTAAAGGCAAGTCAAGTGTTCACCTAAATAAACACAGGAACATCTAGTTCCTGTTTAAATAGGGAATTGCTTCAGACAGCATTGTGGTGGTTGATGCCTAAAATTTGAAAAGATCCACGTCATATATAACACTGTTTGACAGTCTCCTTACGAGAGAATACATTCAGAAGCAAAGACACATTTACTACTCGAACTGATCAATACGAGAGACAACATATAAAAACTTTAAACACACTCCATCAATGATTCATAACCTAGAAACCCAAGTTCAAGCCGATGTATATCAGTGTTATTGGAATTCCCAAAAGTAAAGGGATACACAGCACCCAGAAGAAAAACAAATCCAGTGCTTTGCTCACTCGTTCCCATGTGACGGGCTGAGTAGCCTTAGCCTGAAGCTCTTGTAACTGTCCAGATTCCTCAATTGCAGGTTTGTCACGGTTTCCAAACCGGCCAAATGCATCGACCTTTTCGACCCAAATTGTGAATCTTTGTAATGTTTTACGAATGGGTTTCGATTCACTCTGTCCACAGAACCGGACACTGAAGATGCTGACGATGACAAATACTGCAGACATTGTAAGTGTGAGTCCAAGGATGATGATGAAAGGCGATATACCCTGGGAGCTCTGGGGTATCATGTCTGTGAGAAAGCCCATGTAGACCCCATATGACAGAGGAATCGTTATGGCCAAGGATATTTTTTCTCCTGAATCTGCAGGAATGAGAAACACAAACGTCCCCAGGACGGACAGGATCAACACAGGGAGGATGAAGTTGAAGACAAAATGCACAGAGCGTCTGTCAAGTGTAAGCGTAATAAGCACATGTGATATTGGCTTGTTGTCAAAGGTCTTTTCCTTGGCTGTGATTGATGTTGGTTTTAGCTTCCACTGACCGCCTATGTTTGAACTAGATGTTCCAGCTACTGACTGGCGGACTTTCAGGTCAACTTCTGACGTCGAATATGACCAGACGACAATCTCCATAGAACACTTCAGGCTATCAAATGGATACATTAGAACGTCCGTTTCACAATCCAGGTAGAATAAGTCTCCTGTCATCCACTGCACGTGTCCATCAGAGGATACTTTTAAAGGCACGAAATCTCCTCCAATATGGTTGAGTTGTTGGAAGGAATTGGACACAACAATATCAGGTTTCCACACGTAGCTATCTGGGGGTCTGATAAACTCAACTCCGTCATACATCTCAGAATTCCAGGTGAGAAACTGATCAGACCATGTCACAACAAACCACCCTGTGCATAGGAGTTGTTGTTGAGACTCAATGTATTGGCTCACTGTGTGTAGATGAAAGTTAAATTCAACTGTAACAGTTTCGGATTTGTTGTAGACGGGCCTCTCGTATGGGATGTTGTTCCAGATGATGTCATTGTAGAGGCGGAATTCACCAGTTGAGTGTCTGGTTGGCTCGATAGACACAACACCAATCACCAAATTACAGATTGTGAAGAGCAGCATGACTGCACAGATGGTAATGTAGAACTTCGCAGTGCCGAGTGTTGATGCCGTGGAGCTGCAATAATGAAAAGATACACGTGTCTCAGAGATTAAATAAGAGGGAATTTAAAATAGTCAAATTGATATTGTTAGATTGTTTGATGTGTAACCCCGCATTCAGCAATATATATAGCTCGAGGCTGGACCCACGTCAGCGAGCAAGAACACCCAATCCATTTAGTCGTCTCTTGCAACAAACATGGGATGCTTTAATTAATGTTATAATAAATACACAACGAACAATGCATTCCATTCATTGTTTTCCAACGAAAACACGAGCTTGTTTAATCAATGGCATTTGCATTATCTTTCATCGGTAAATGCAGGGAAATGAGAGCGACAAAACCCTTTTCATGTCCATTTCAAATCTGCTCAAAGGAGAGTTGATTGTACGATTGCGACTATCCTGAACATGTGTTTAGTAATTACTATCAAATAGTGATTAAAACCCGGTTTTCGCGAAAAAGGGAGAATATCCTGTCCCACTAGTTGCACATGTCACAAACACATTCAAAGTTAAACCAATTGTTTAACACGGGGACAAGTCAAAATAGGGAATTGCATCGGACATTATTTTTATCACTGATGTGTCAAATTTGCTACTTTCCTCCGTATGCCTACCATCAAACTGTTTGAAAGCTTTGCTCAATCATTGAATTTTGTAACCTGGATGAAACAACTACTGACAAAGAGTTGTAATCTTCGTAAAAGGGCATGTTCGATTGTATCTAAAAAGTTGCGACATGTAGACATTGGGAGAGTGTTTTGTCACTCTGAATCTTTATGCATACATCTAAATATGAAACAGATAAAATGGTCTCACCGGTCTCCTTTATTCCTAGTTCAGGTGAGTAAAACAATTGAAGGGACATGGCTATTCGGTGCTTATTGAATACAATTTTAACTGAACCATCAAGCCATGTCGGAGATGTCAAAAATGTAAAACAATTGCATCCAGTTCGCGATGACGGACGACCTCCGGCGACAAAATCCTTTTAGGCCAGGTGAGCTAAAAATAAGTTGTATGCTGGATGTCCTGATGTCGGCTCCTTCCTTCACAGAATACTAATGGTGTGTTTTGAGGCAGTGAAATTGTGGGTCCCTAATATTATCTTATATTTTGACAAAAATGATAAAATTCAATCATCACATCAGAAGTCTCCATTCTCCACATTCTTATTCGGAGATTTAATTCTAATGGTATCGCAAATACAATTTCAGCAGTACGTCACATTTGGCATGTGACTGGTCAAATATTTAATTACTTAATCCGAAATCTTACCTTTTTTTCAGCATTCTTGTTATTCTAAAGAACATTACCCTGCACGACTGTTTCAGTTTGATCCCTGCAGGCCTAAATATTTGTAGAAAAGTAATTTCTCAATAATCGTTGGAGGCCATTACAAAATGCAGATTTGCGGACGCTACATTTTTCAGAGAACATGTCAAATACATTGTTAACAGACAATACGGTGTGTTTCAAATATCGGAACTATTAAAACAACATGTACCATTGGATCAGTGAGGTCAATTGACGCGAAACTGATCGCTCTCACAAATGATTGCACTAAATAAATAAAAAGGATATTAATAAGAAATGGTGAATGATGATAACAAACCACTTACGCAATTGCAGATAAGCTGAAATAAGAAAACACGTGCCACCTCTCAGTGTTATATTAAATAAAGTAAAATAAATAGAACGGGTCATATTCCTGTATGTTACTTACCAGTCCTCCGAAAATCAGTTCAGATTATTACCATTATGTTTGTCTTTGACTTTATCGCCCAACTCATCTCAACCTTTTAGATGGGCAATGTCAAGTCATGGAAACAGTTGAACGGCTGCATAAATCCCAACGAACTATCTGCTATCAACAAGCACAATGATTGACGTTCCCCAAATCCGCTCATAAAATACCAACTCTGTTCTGTTTGCACAAAACAGCTTGGACTGTGCAGGATGCCAAAACTCGGAGTTGTAGGGTCCTAACATTTCACAATGAAACACGGATTCGCAGCATAACAGGTACGAGTATTTAGTGCGTCCAACTACTTCAGCAGTTCATTTACAATTTACGGGCTCTAGAAAGTGCAATGTAAACATGGGCACAGAGGCCCAGAGCAACACAGCAGTCAATAACCGTCAGGTACGGACCTCTTAAATCAGTTTTATGAACTGCTAATTCATGTTATCACAGATTCCACAGTGCATCAAGATTAATAATTGGCACCAACTCTGTTTAACATCTGTGGAAAGCAAGGAATATTTTATAGCTCGTGGCAGTCGCAGACGTTGCTACCTTCAAGATAAACACATGTGTCCTAGTGTCACCTTAACGCATTTGTCGAACTGCACACATAAAAATAACATAATATTGTGATTTGTGGACTCGGTTGTCATGATAATTATATGCTAATTGCACATGGGAATTTTAGCAATTTTCAATGCTGAATGGTCAGTTAAAATCTTATTCATTATTCATGTCACTTTATGGCATTACTTCATTTGAACACTGTTTCTGCTCGGTAGGCATGACTTTTGATTCGTCCTTCTTCATTTATTGACACAAAATGTATTGCATAAACCAAAGCCAGAGAGTGCACCATCCACAGTGCACGGTCATAGTCGTTTAACACTCTGGTCAAGCTTGGATTCGATCAACGGTGCACGGGTGCCCAAGTTGTTACGTCCAAGGATCCTATTATCGTCGGGTCAAATCCAAGATTTGCACTGAATATGATCCTTAGTTTTTCAGACTGTACCAGCTCTCCTTTGGGCTTCACACACACAAAACTGTCAGAGACCTGCGTCACTTTGCTTTGTTCTCTCAACTATGACTTGACAACCAGCGTCCCCCAATGTCTCTCCCAATTGCGAGGGCTGAAAACGGATTCTTCTCCTGCGACACATGATAGCTTTTGCTAGTCTAATCTGATTTAGATGAGTTCTTATGTCCTCGTCCGTGCCATCATTGGAGAACAGACCATACAGTTTTGAGTTTCGGGGCGCGAAAAACTAGAGTCATCACTGATTTGCAGTGATCCATTCATATAGCTTTCACTGCTGTTTTGCCTTTTGTGCGGAAAGGAATCTGTTTTGGCGGATAATCGAGACTGGTTACTCTCTGGTGATAACGTTTTGTATTTCAGATGGCACATCATAATAGAGCATACTCAAGTCACACAAAAATAAAGACACTGTCAATTATTTCCACGCACAATTCACAATGAATATTTTTCTCAGAGAATTACTATAACCTATTCTACTAAATACGACATATACAATTGATGGTTCGGAAGAAATATTTTGTCATTAAAGCACTGCTATGGACAGCAACAGTACTGGAATCACTATCAACAAAGGTATACACAACACCCAGAAGAAAAACAGATCCAGAGCTGAGCTCACTCGATTCCACGTCATTACTTGAATATGTTCCTTAGCCTCGCACTCATCTGATTGTTCTGTGTCCTCAGAGATATGGTTAGGATGCAACCTTCTTTGTCGACCACAGTTTTTAACATGTTCAACCCAGACGGTGATTCTTTGGAATGCTTTAGGAACGGGTCGTGAATTACTGCGTGCTGAGATCCTGACACTGAATATGCTGAGGATGACAAATAACGCAGACAATGATAGCGTGATTCCAAGGAAAATGATAAAGGTGGACACACCCTCGGAACTTTGTGGTACCATGTTTGTTAGAAATCCCATGTAGACACCATAAGAAAGAGGAATTGTGATGGCAAATGATACTTTTTCTCCTGAATCTGCTGGAATGAGGAACACAAACGTTCCTAGAAGAGAGAGAATCATGACGGGAAGGATAAAGTTAAAGACAAAATTGGTTGGGAGTCTTTCTAGAGTGAGTGTAATTTTCACTGTTGACATTGTTTTGTTGTCAGAATGTTTTTTCAACGACATGATAGGGGCTGACGTCAAACTCCACTGACCCCGTATATTGGAACTGGACACTCCAGCACGAGATTGCCGTGGTTTCAGGTCAACTTCTGTCACTGAGTGTGACCACACAACCAGATTCATAAAACACCTCAGGCTATCAAATGGGTACAACTCAACGTCAACATTACATGGCAGGTAGAATAAATCCCCAGGCATCCACTGTATATGTCCATTTGAAAATAGTTTCAGAGACACGAAATCTCCTCCAAGGCGGTCGAGCTGTTGGAAGGAATTGGACACAACAATATCAGGTTTCCACACGTAGCTATCTGGTGGTCTGATAAACTCAACTCCGTCATACATCTCAGAATTCCAGGTGAGAAACTGATCAGACCACGTCACAAAAAACCACCCTGTGCATAGGAGCTGTTGTTGTGACTCAATGTATTGGCTCACTGTGTGTAGATTAAAGTCAAATTCAACTGTAATAGTTTCGGATTTGTTGTAGACGGGCCTCTCGTATGGGTTGTTGTTCCAGATGATGTCATTGTAGAGGCGGAATTCACCAGTGGCTTTTCTGAGTTGTGTCTCAACGGACACAAAACCACAGGCAAGAATATACAAAACTGGCGACATCATGGTCGTATAGCATCAGCCCTTATCTTCTTCCTCTGCGATGACAGCTTAATGTTCAGCACACTTGGCTGCCTGTTCTCAATTCTGGGACCAGCCAATGAAACGCACTGACTTTGGTCAAAAGCACTTCTTGTGTCTTTCCTGAAATTAACATGAAAAATGAAGAAATAGGAAGTAATTATTTCTGAATATATGTAAACAAATCTAGTTTTGTGATGTGAAAGTGCTTATCAATTCTGAAATTTGATAACACGCTGGCCGTGTTTGGGCACATATAATGTATTCCCACGACTACAAGCGTTCCTTCTCAGGCCTTTCGGGTGTGTGTGTTGGGTATGTGTTTGTTGATTTGTTTTATCAAACTCGTTTTGGATAGTCAATTACTCACCATAGGTACGGTTGGGTAACAAAAGACTTTCTTTTTCTTTCCACTTACATATCGCCATAAAAGAGGCTTACATGACAAATATAGCCTTGAGCTTTAGAGTGAGTGAGTGAGTTGGGTTTAACGCCGCTTTTAACAGTATTCCAGTTATATCACGGCGTATCAGCTTAATGTGGGAGGAAAGCCTGAAGTGATGCAGGTCTCAGACGTTTACAACTTTGGTGAAAACCACGAGCACAGGTATGGTGCTGACAAACCTAGAAACATAATTGGGGCGAACCGGGATTCGAACCCACAATCATAGGTTTGTGACGTGCCCAAGGGACGCAACTCTGCACAGTGAATCGCGGTGCCTTAGACGACTTGGCCATGAGCTTTAGGCATTTTGTAAAGAATCGAATAGTGTGAATGGATGCTGATATTTGAACCTTTTCCATGTGCATTATAGAGGGTACTATGTATGTATATTTTGCATCTTTATAGCCTCAGATGGCCAAAGGATTATTCTCGCTGCTGACATTACCTGTTGAAGTGAGGTGAAGATTATGCGTCATACGAAAAGACGTTAAAAGATAGTGCTTCTTTTTACACCTACACACTTACGCCGCGACGTGCATGTGTGTGTGCGTGTGTGAGTGCGTGCGTGCATGCGCGCACGTGTTTGTCGTTGACGGTCCATACGAATGTCGCTTGTATAGATCTAGTCCACACAGATAGCATGCCACAGTTTATCATTGATACCCCACTCTGACACAGTATACTCAATCATGACCAGGCAGGGTAAAAAAGAAGCACTGTCTTTTAACGTTTTTTCGTATGACGTTGGTAGGCATCGAACTACCGACCTTTTGTTCTCCGGGTAGACTCTCTATCCGCTAGACCACGGATGTAGTCTGTATCTAAATGACTTAATGAATGTTAAGGGTAATGGGTACGATATATTTTATCATACTTCTTTTTAAGAGACTGACCTTTGTCTTGTCTTGTTACCTGCATATTTGAAACAATGCCACTACATGTGAAGAAATTAACTCAATTTCCTTCCATTCGAAATCGTTTATTTGTTGTAAATATATAACTAAACAAATTTATGAAATCCTGTGCGTAACTGGTAGGATTATTCAAGAAAATGAAATATAGAAATGACGTCATTTTAAAACTATGCTAGTACAAATATTCGTTTTCAAAGCCTTTTACATTTATATGAGTATTTTGGACCAATCAGTTAACATCCAAATAGGAAAACAATATCCATCAGGGCATACTCCACATAGCGATCTTTGCACCAAGACAGCCGTAGTGCCCATGCATTACCACTGATAAAGGCAGCCGTAGAACTGAACGGTATCCTGCTCGCTAACTAAACTTACCGGTAAAGATGTAGTTATTTCCTTGGTGAAACACCTTGGTCCATTGTTAATTCATATCCCTCCTGATGGTACAGTGATATCGTGTCGCAAAAATACATGAAGTTCGTTATATCTTTCCTGTGAGAAACGTAAAAACATTCAACCAAACTCCAAAACGTCCTATCCACGATAATGCCACCTACCGATCTGTTATCAGCCTGTACACAGATCGATCAGATGCAACCGATAACGCACGTCCACGATGAATAACATAACAAACACCACTGAGGCCCTGTAACCTGCAACACTGGTTTACACAAATGGCATTAGGACTGATGAATAATTACCACATGCAGACAATTAACGGGACATCAGTTACACAATACAAATCAGTTGATGTGTCTCACAACATCGGGGATGTTTACAGTGATTTCCATGGAGAACGTGGATCACATTGAGAAGTGTGTGATTGATCATGAGAAGTCGTAATCAGTCAGAATCATTCTGAATCAATTTCCTTTTGAGGCGTTTATTAGAGTGAGTGAGTGAGTATTGTTTTACGCCGCTTTTAGCAATATTCCAGCAATATCACGGCGGGGGACACTAGAAATAGGGCTTTACACATTTACATTTATTTGAGGCTTCTACACGCATCCTCTATTAAATGTCGTGATCACTTGTGAATCTAAAACCAATCAAAGTGTTCTAAGCACCTTGTACATAGGCAGTCAAAACCATGGCAACTTGTATGACAAGACGGACGGTTGCGATGTTCCAACTAAGGATTTCGGCTTTATGTTGACGAATATGCAATCAGATCAGCTTATGGTGTCCACATTTCTGCTGAAGTAGTTTAGAAAATGTACATTTTATCCACATTTCGAGGAAAGACGTGTGTCATGCAACTGAGTGCTTCAATAAAAGGGTTCACCACCAAAGGCCCTATTCAAGTGATTTTACTGGTAGTCATTCAGATGAATTTACTAAATATGACACGTCCTTCGTCAACACCTTGTGTCATGACTGATTTCCATGAGGTATTATTGCGCCCTGTAAAATCAGTTTCCAGAATGTTCAATATCGATTGTTCTCTGGCCTTGAATTTTATTTTAATTCAAAATGTAATTATAGCTAACTCAGCCGACCTATTTTTTGTTCGACAGACGTAGTGCGCGTCTTGGGCTCTAACAGCTAAATGCATACGTTGGTTGAACAAGGAGCAAAATTGTAGTTTACACTTTCTTTTTACGTCGGCCGATGTTAACATGTTTCAAGATACTTTGGGTGATGATTTGAAATGAATCGGAAGTCATGCTCTCAAGTGGAGTGAGCGATAGGGTAGCCAGATGGTTTAAGCATTCGCCCATTATGTGAAGACCTATGTTCGATTCCCTACATGGGTACAATGTAGGAGGCCAAGCCCTGGCGTCCCTCCTTTTCACATTGCTGGAATATTACTAAAAGCTGTGTAAAACCCTCACTCACTCCGGACGAAGGAGTATAATAGACCTTTTCGCACATCATCTTTTACTTCACAATCCACCACACCACAGGGTGTGTACAGGTCTACTATATACAAAAGGGTATGAACAGGCCTACTATATACAAAAGGGTGTGAACAGGCCTACTATATACAAAAGGGTGTGAACAGGCCTACTATATACCACACGGTGTGAACAAGTCTACCATATACCACAGGTTGTGAACAGGTCTTCTATATACCACACGGTGTGAACAAGTCTACCATATACCACAGGTTGTGAACAGGTCTTCTATATACCACACGGTGTGAACAAGTCTACCATATACCACAGGTTGTGAACAGGTCTTCTATATACCACATGGTGTGAACAAGTCTACCATATACCACAGGTTGTGAACAGGTCTTCTACATACCACACGGTGTGAACAAGTCTACCATATACCACAGGTTGTGAACAGGTCTTCTATATACCACACGGTGTGAACAAGTCTACCATATACCACAGGTTGTGAACAGGTCTTCTATATACCACACGGTGGAACAAGTCTTCTTTATACCACACAATGTGAACAGGTCTACTGTATACTACTCGATGTGAACAGATCTACTTTATGCCCCATGGTGTGAAAAGGTCTACTTTATACAAAAGGGTGTGAACAGGCCTACTATATACAAAAGGGTGTGAACAGGCCTACTATATACAAAAGGGTGTGAACAGGCCTACTATATACCACACGGTGTGAACAAGTCTACCATATACCACAGGTTGTGAACAGGTCTTCTATATACCACACGGTGTGAACAAGTCTACCATATACCACAGGTTGTGAACAGGTCTTCTATATACCACACGGTGTGAACAAGTCTACCATATACCACAGGTTGTGAACAGGTCTTCTATATACCACACGGTGTGAACAAGTCTACCATATACCACAGGTTGTCAACAGGTCTTCTATATACCACACGGTGTGAACAAGTCTACCATATACCACAGGTTGTGAACAGGTCTTCTATATACCACACGGTGTGAACAAGTCTACCATATACCACAGGTTGTGAACAGGTCTTCTATATACCACACGGTGTGAACAAGTCTACCATATACCACAGGTTGTGAACAGGTCTTCTATATACCACACGGTGTGAACAGGTCTACCATATACCACAGGTTGTGAACAGGTCTTCTATATACCACACGGTGGAACAAGTCTTCTTTATACCACACAATGTGAACAGGTCTACTGTATACTACTCGATGTGAACAGATCTACTTTATGCCCCATGGTGTGAAAAGGTCTACTTTATACCACACGGTGTGAACAGGTCTACATTATACCACACGGTGCGAACAGGTATAATTTGTACTACATGATGTGAACAGGTCTACTCTATACCACACGGTGTGAACAGATCCTCTATGTGTGATGAATAGGAGCAAGAACTGTTAGTGTCTGTGTAATTTTCTTTGATTGTTGTTTAACGCCGCACTCAGCAATATTTCAGCTATATGACGGCGATCTCAACACAGTCAGCGAGCCTTACCGACCGATCCCGTTACTCGCCTTTTTTTAAGCATGGGTTGCTGAAGACCTATTCTTCCCCGGATCTTCACAGGTCGACACTGAATAGTATTTTTAAATCCACAGGCGTCGACAGATCCATTATGAAACAACTGTTTGTTAGAAATCAATAATCCAGATTTAAATTTGTGTCCAGTTCTTAATATTTCCCAAACTCCGCTTTTCATGGACGTTTATGGAAACAAAAAAAGACACTCTAATGTCTGTTTGTATCCAAGATTTGTTGTTGTTGTAATTGCCAACATTCACTGTATCATCT